TGTCTCCAGGAACACGCTTTTGCCGATCTTATAAAAACAGGCATGGTACGTTGTCATTGCCCCAGTGCTCATCAATCCCACGACGTTCAGTCTTAGCTGCGTTTTGTCATCTGTCACGGCTGTTCAGTGTACTATTTTTTTTCACGATGTAGCCAATCTTGTCCTTTGTTCTCAGCTATCATGCTGCCATGTACGGGTCAGCGACAAGGTTGCGTTTGCATTCCAACGTCGGCAACAATTCCTCTGGGAAGTGCTGATCCAACTCGTAAAATCGGCTGTTCCTTTCGAAACCCAAATGCTTTGATGGGACCCCGACGGGTCTTTAATAAAAAATTATTTCCGAAGGATGAAGTAGGCCCTACTGTTGGATGTTTCTTGTTTGTGAGGGATCATTTTGCATACTACAGACTGCGTCAGCCTCTGTTACGACTAAGCTTTCCAGTTAGAATTAACCCCCCAAAGCCGCCATACTTGAAGAGGCATTTAGTTCCCCGCCTATGCATGCTGAAAATGCCCTCCATGGCACACCACTTAACATGCAAGTTTTCAAATCATGTAACGTAATTGGCACATCTCAAGTGATCGTCGCAGCCGCCTGCCAGGTTTGCGATCGACGGCAGTAGTTTTTGTAACGCTTCTGTTTCTGGAAACATTTTTGCGCAGACAGTTGTTTTGTTCATTCGTTTGGTTTTATTCCTTCAGACCTCCCTTCTCTCCAAACCACGCCTGCAAAAGTTGTTATCAATGGAGCTGGACTATCATCCCAACAATGCCTTCCTATACTACGTCGACCCCGTGAGTTCGTATATACAACCATCCAGGGTTTGTTATTACGCTTCTCGGTAGCGTCTGTCTCCGTAGACTGGCCTCTGCATGTGAAACAGTTTTTTTTATATGACTAGTAGTCGCAAATTGTTCGTGACAAACAGGTATAAGTGCCCCACTTTGTCTACTTTATGAAAAGCGTTGAGGTGCACTACCAGACTACACTTTAGGAAGGGGGGGGGGACACATTGATAATTAATAAGGCCTTTTTTGGATATAATTTACTCACTGGGCTTTCGACCGACCTTTTCGCTTGCGGTAGCCTGTACAGTGAGATCTAGGGTAGCAGCACCGAGCTGGCGGGACTGGTGGCGAGTAACCTTTCCAAACTACCTCAACCGTACTTTTTGAATGGCCGCAGGTACATTTAGTGTCGCCGAAAGGGTGGCGGCCCGTCTGACTCGAATCGAAGTCAATGTAACTCGCTCTCGAAGGATCATCCTCAGGCAACGGTGTTTTAGGACCTCAGGTCCTCGCCCGTCTTCCATATACACAACCTGGTGTTCACAAATACAGCGAAAAGACGAACGGATGAATGGCCGTCATAAAAGATTTATGCTGATCAAGATGTCTCTGCGGACCCATAGAGGTCTCTGAAAGTTTGCGAACGTCCCCTGAGCAGTAGGTGATTCGGGCGGCGTAATCATCTTTATTAACTTCGCTTTTGCGAAGACCTGTTTCGGGGATGTCGAAAAGGTCAGTACGTTTGAAGGCTAGATACTTGCAGTAAGAAGCCCCCTACGTGTCTGTCTGTCAGTCATACAACCCTACTTTTTCTCGGATAACTCGTCCTGGTAGTGGCGTCATGAGCAGTGGCCGTCCATGGCTAATGATGATGATGACGATCATGGCACCCTCTGACAGCGTGCCCTATGGGCATTCGTGGCGTTTGTATAGCCACTCGTCTAGACGAGAGCATTTTATAGGCTTTCTGGGAGGGAACCTGTTCATGTCAGCAGTGGAGGGAGATTTTGGGTCAGTCTTATTCACCCGTTCCCCCTGGCGAATAATACTCAATCCAGGTCAGGTGGTTATGGGAGGGGAACGGATGATTCCTGATTACTAGTTAGTACCTTGCAGCATCTCGTTACAGCGGTTGTAGACTTGACCGATTTGACCTTATTCCTATAACTGAGGAATTTCTACTTTGCCACCGTAGGCCGAGTTCGACACCCATTATCTCTTAGCTTTCTTCAGTGAGCGTTCTGTGCCCCATCTCCTCTAATATCGTCCTTACTCCCAACACGGGTGTTGGATCGAACCAAAGCTTGTGCCGTCACGGTTGCCCGGTCGGGCCATCCGCTGACACGATCGTGTTTGGTACGGGTAATTCTGTTTCACGAATCCACCGCCTTATTTTGAGTAGACCTCTTCATGTCGTCCGTTAAGATCATAGTCGCGATCAGCGCCTACTGTTGCTGCTCCACTGTTAAGAGTTCAGATCCGTAATAATCCCTCCCGGCCGTCGTTCGGTCACGCGTTTATTTAGGTCTCATCCAACGTTCAATCCTGATTAACTATTTCACTTTGACTGAGTTCCCAGGAGGGCCAAATGCGGCTTTTAATCGTCTGGTTTGCATTAGATCGCGCTGACTTACCGTGCTGGCGTCACACTACGACGGCGTCCGACTTAAGACTCCGAAAATCCACCTAATATTGGCCTGCGTCACTGGCCAGAAGATGAAGGTGACAATCTTTCCAAATATCTCTGAGTCAAGTTGTTGCCGGACAGACGGCACGTACAACACTGTCAAACGAATGGATGCCGCTCACGGGGTTTGTGCATGCCTCGCAATATCGCCACCAGGGTCCGGGTGTACCCGACCTCCGTCCAGCCAGCTTCGTACTTTTTTGAGTGCTGAGCTGTACGCTTGAAAGACTAATGGAAATTGGATGCTTTACGTCCATTCCCCGAAAACAGGTTTATAAGTCCGAGAGTAAAGTAACACACAACTTGACCATTTTGTCGAAGGACCAGGTCCCTCTTGTTCTCGCCTTGATTGGCGGTTAGGTGGATAGGCCTGTGTATTTGACTATTTCCATTCTGACTGAGCCAGTCTTCAGCGGACAGACTGTATTGCCTGAGACAATCAATGTCTGCTGCTCTAAAATCACACGGAACATCAGAGAAGGGCGACTGGATACTTTGGGCACATCCTTCGTCCTCCCCCCCCCCCCATCCCTGGGTTCTCGTTGTTGCCCTTGCTCCGACGACGCTAGCCACCCGGAAACGAATCCTGCTTGACGCCGTCCGTCAAGACATAGGGAGTGTTCCTGGTACTCTCGGCATTCAATCTCCGCTGCCGGAGATGGGAGTAAGTTGGACACGGTTGGTCGTTACGCGTGGCGTTCTACCCATGATCTCAATGAGGCCAGCCAGATCGGACACAGTCACAGTACGGGCACCACTGTGCCATTCTCCTCCCACTTCCTCACTTCTCAGGACAGCAATTCGTCTTGTGATTCGATAGTCAGTAATACCTGCAGTCTGGTTGTCTGTGTATTGTCTCCGTAGCCATCATGGAGTCCATTCAGATTTCGAGTGAATGGTGCTCTTCCCATAAAACCCACTTCTGGCCAACCTGCCTTACTGTCCGAAGATCGCCGCCTATGTGCGTGTCGACCTACTCAGAAAGGCTCGCGCTGGCTCATCAATCTTAGCGTCTTACAACCAGTGCTCGTGGGAGTTGGCCACGGAGATTCCAGTCGATCCAATACCACCTTTTCATTGTCTAGCCTTATTTTCAACGACCTCTCCAACCCGAAGCATACTTCAACTCTGGGTTTTTGCGATCCTGTTTGTGGACTGGTTTTAGGCATATGCCCCTTTGGCCAAGCACGGCTGATTAGCTCGCGACTGTGTCTAAGTGCTACTGTGCGATAGATCCAGGAAGGGCAATTTTTCTTATTGAGGAAACCTTCCTTTCTTACAGGTTTTCTATCTACTTTAAGGACCACGTCATCTAGTTGGGCAGCCTCCTACTACTTTTAGAGGGCTTCATGTTCAGATGTCGTAGAATGGCGTAAACCCTACCCTATTCCTCCTATTCAGTCAAAATGTTTACCCGTAATTTATGAAGCGTAGGAAATTGATTAAAAGCTTGGACGGAAGACCGTTAGACTGAACTGAGAGAAAGGTAGAGAGGCGGGATTTGCGTTCAGACTCGCGTGCGTGCGCGCGCGTTTGCTGCGAGACCTCGTTCGGCGCGACAAAGTTGTGTGCACGACCGACGCGTAGAATGTACGCACCCTGTCCTCGCTGCTACCCGCTCGACCTGTTCATTATGGATTCATTGGCCCATGTTGAGGGGCGCGCATGTTCATCCAGGCGCTCCAGCTGACCAGTGGTCGTTCAGTCTTTCTCCGTCAGCTCGTTAGGGACTTTTTCGAAATCCGAGTCTATCAGTCAATCATAGAATTTATGCGTCCCGTGGTCACTCTGCTCCGTCGTGCCTGTGTGCATCTTTTCACGGCTCAAATATGCTCTAAGACACTTTGTTATACGTATGATGAGCGGTCTTTCCCGAAAAGTGGATGGCGTTCGAACAGGCGCCGATAAACAAACGTTCATGGAGTAACTCCCACTCCTAATAGTGGTTCGGTAAAGGGAACCAACCGACCTCTTCACGTACTGCATGCATATCTGCGACGTGTGCTATAAGGTCTGCAGTAAATAGTTTTATCCAGCACCGTCACTGCAAATGAAAAATATATTTAAAAAGATATTTACGAGTGAGTCTCGGCTCGAATAAGCAAATCCCTACAGTGTTCAGTTTGTGTTTATATTTTAAAAAATGACCAGCACTAAAAAAACCTGCCTCCTAAATTGGTTGAGAGAGACATGAGACGAATTTGATTTGCTAGTTCTTAGGGCGGAAAAAACACTTCCGGGAAGAAAATATGCGTGTGGGGCAAGACCACCCTGTAGGGGAAAGTGTATAAGGGTTTGGAACGTTCCTCGTCAAGGGAGAATCCCAAAACCGGATGGGGCTATTCGCTGTAGGTGTGATCCTATTGTGTCATGGATGACTGCAGAAACAGCCCTCAAAGTGGCGAGACAGGAGGAGCCCACCGCGATCGTCCACTTAGAGTCGAACTGAGGAGGGGGCACTAAAAAGCCACAATGGTTCCCGAGGCGCAGGTAGGCGCGACTATGATACTCCTCTGCTAACCGGAAAATTCACCAGCAAGTGTAGAAATACGGAGGGATCTGCCACGATCACCAACTGATCGCTTAGGGTCCAAACGAGGTGGGGACATTAAAAGCCGCGAAGATCATTGCTATAGGGGACAATATCAGTGGATTTAGCACCCAATCAGAAACATGGGGTTGTGCGAGTTTAAGTGAGTTTCAAGCTGAGTTGGTGGAGCATATGATATCTACCCTTACTTTCCTGGAGAACCCTTCTCAAAGGCCAGAAATTGAGTGTTGAAAGGTCGCTGCTATCGGGAACGATCTCTGCCGTTTGTATTATGGCCTGGTATTTTCGGCATCTAGGGTTTGGTGTAACCATTTTCGACTGTCGTCCGCACCACAGAAGCTTTTTTGCTCAACTTTCCTGTTCCCGTGCTGTAGTCTACGAATTTGCTAAAGAGGGCTGCCTTTTGTCTTTCCTTCCTCAAGGTGGTCGAGGACAAGGTTGACGCTACCCTTCGTAATGAAGCTGTGCATGGTCTCCGCTGCATCCACAACGCATTCTTCACCCTGTCTGCGGAGGCCTTCTGTAAGGCTGTCAATCTCATCGACCGTTTCGTGGTAAAAGTCAAGGTGTGTGTGTGTGTGCGTCTAACTACATACCCTGTTTTGTTGTTCATTGCAAGCCGTTGCAGGGTAACGGAAGTGCCGAGGGTCGTGAGACACAAGAGGGTTTTTGGTCACAGTACCATTTACTCCAAAGTCTCTAAAAGGTAGCCAATAGCATTCCAAGCCGTCACAACTCCTCCAGACCCGTCTGCCCGCATCTACGTTTGAAAAAAGAAGGACGCAGCTCTGATCTGCTTATCCGACTGTCAGTTGATTAACTGGTCCTGATTCTGGTTGCCTGGTCTGTTTACGACGCAGTCCGTCGGACCTCAATCGCGCCACTTCTTCCTGACCTTTGGATTTGCCATCTTTAGCTGACTTGTTTTTGACTTGAGGGCGGTTTTTATTGCATGTTTTGAGTGCCACTACTGTCTAAAAGTCGTATAGCAGGGCGTGGTCGGGGGCGCAGACATTCAGGATGGAGACGCTGTCTACCTGTCGGAGGAATCGTGCCTCGATATACTGCACACAATCTCAGAAAAGAACTATTTTTACCCTGCAGTCAACATGCACACAGTACACAGCTCTAGTAACAAGGACATGCGAGTCGAGTCTCGATTCTCATACCCCAATCGAAGCTGGCCTTCGGTTGGTTGTCTGGACATTTTAGATGAAAAGAATTATACTTGATTCTTGCTGTAACGCTCGCCACGCACTTGTTACAATCACTCTGCTGTTTTAAATTATGCGCTCTTGCAACTTTTCACAGCAACACGGACCTTTCCACTTTTTGATCTTAATCTCTTCTTTAGGTCAAGCCGAAGTACATGTCTTGTGTTGCAGCAGCGGCCTACCACATTGCTGCCAGGCTCAGCGAATCTACACCGGCAAGTTTTTGTTGTTTTCATGCCTTTCTGGTATTTTTGTATCAATTCAGTCCGAGTCTATCACCCCACAACTCTTTTCCATCATTCTTCCACGACTATCCCTATTACAGACGAAAAGGTGAGTTTTGGGGATAGTTGCGAAGGTGAAAGCTCGTCTGCTGGAACAAGAACTTATCTCACCGGAATGTTCGGACTCACTCGCTAACCCGTTATCAGAGACGGCGACAGTGATTGTTACTCAACCGCACACCTAGTAAAATTAGCAGTTTCCACATTCACTGCAGATATTCGCACACTGGACGGTCTTTAGCGTCAGAGTTGTTAATCGCGGCAACCTCGTAACTGGTGTTGACGATTGACGTGATAATTAACCGACCGATAGAAGCGAAGATGCGAGCTCCATGAAACAGTTGTGAAGAGGATACGTCGCATGAAGCTCTTGTCACAGTGATCATGCGTCCCTCTTCACAATTACCCGGCCATTAGATTCGCGGGTACTGTCACCTGAAGCCGATTTCTCCCCTTTGCGCAATCGGCCGAAATAATTTCTCTGCCATGACGAAGTCGTAGCGCCGAATATTTAGGGGGTGACCATTGACTGCGGGCCGGATGACCATGAATCAAATAACTCGCTGCTCACGCGGTCGTCATCTCGAGCGAGGACATCGGCCTCGTCAAACCTGACGATGGGACGGGGTTTCTGCTGAATTAGCTATGGCTTGAGGATTGACATCATCCCTACTCCCACTGCCGCTAGGAGTTCGGCCATCCGCGTCCAGAGTAATTTCCCGATCCCCCCTTGTCCACAACTGCACTAGACGAGGTAAACGACTTTAGGCGTTTGCCATCGTGGTTGTTGGTCATTTTTTGGCGTCTGGCCTCAGGTCTGTGTGAAACCCCAGACCCAAGTGCCGTGAGAAGTCGGCCGATGGCTTCGGCGGCGCTCACCGAAATTTGTAGCAAGTGCGATCTGGCCTCGTCTTGGTTGCACGTGCGCCGATTAAGAGAATTGGACGGGTAGGCATTCGTTCTGAGCACCCCTCGAGGGTATTGTAATTATCAACCTTTCCCAACATTTAGGCCGTCTCATGTCAGCACGCTGATGTAGCGTCCTTGAAACGACTGTACTTGTGACTGATGATTATGCGGTTGATGGCGAAGTTAAGTATACTCGTTGTGTATATCGCTCTCCCGTACACTTGCTTTTAAAACACCACAACTTTTGTAGCAGACCAGAACATCAGTGGAAGTCGGCTGGCCGTCATCCTTTCACACTGAATTGTTTGTCAGAGAAGATGGCGTTAAAATTCTCCCTGAATGTCAGCACCTGATCTCGTTCGATGACGAAAAAGGCGTCATCCACATACCGTGTCCCTAGTTGCGGTCCGCGGTGAAGACGATGACTCTTCAGAAGACGAAGATACGACCACCGGAACAAGAAATTTATTGGCCCGACGTTTCGGATCCTCACTCGAACCCATCATCATAGACGGTCGCAGATAAAGGTGATGGTGGCACCAGGAATGCAGCATTTATAGCACGTGGCTGCCGTGAGGCAAAATGCGTGCTATAATCAACAGCTCTCGTAATCACCGCTGGGGTCGTAACTTATGCAATGATGGCTTGTCAGTCCGCGTCCGAGTCGTTAATGGACGCGATTTCTTCATCCGTGTTGGGTGCTGGTGTGGCGATTGCTCGGCAAATTGACTCACTGTCACTGTGATAATTGCTCGCCCTGGCCTTTCCCACGTGACTGAATCCCCTACCCAGGGAAAATCTCAGCACGGAATACGGTAATGGGAGGTCATTGCGCTTGTTGATGGATTGCGGGCGTGAGAAGCATGACTCACGCGGTTTTCACCCCTTGCGAGGATTTTGGCCTCTTGAAACTTGAAAATATGGCCGAGTTCTGAGGAATGAGCCGCCACCTGAGAGCTAGCGCTTCCCCGCCTCACTGCTGTTGCGTGCTCGACAATTCGCGTCAGGAGTAATCTCCCAGTTTCTCCTACGTAGTTGCCTTGTCCGCAACTACACTAGACCCGGTTAACGACTCCAGACGCTTCCTGCCGTGGCAGTGGGTCTTTCGGCCTCATGGCTTGGCGCCTGATGGTTGCTTCCGGCCTGTGTGCAACTCCGAGTCCAAGTGGAGTAAGAAGACGACTGACGGCTTCCGAGGCGTTCTTCACGTACGGAAGAGTTCACTAACATTTTGGGGCCGGTGACTGTTGCCCTCACAGGACCGCCTCGGCTGTCAATTCAGAAATCGGTGAGCTCGTTTACGTGCCTCACACCCATCTGCTCTCGCGAACCATTTTAGCCAACTTTGAGTGCATTATGATATAACACCACGGGAGTTTGGGGAATTGGTCGTGTTCCAGGCGATTCTCCTCTTAATCGTGTTTCCTCTGCAAGAGGAGCTCGATAATTTCGACTGCCTGATCCCGGAAATCAGACGTAAACGGGGACTTCGTTTGACTGCAGGTTAATTTTTTCAAATTCTCACCAATGCTTGTTTTACTGAGCTCAGTTATCTGACAGCGCCTTCTGCATGCGGTTGTAAATAGTGCCGGTCAGAATTGATTTGGCTTCACACTGATTTACTCTGAGGAATGAAGTCTCAAAAGGACCGTGGAATCGGACCAAGGGTATTTGTCCAGTTTTTGCCACAAAGTGGTCGTTCGGTTTCATTGAAAGTCCACCCATCCGCTGAGGATGGTGGTTACACGTCGAAATTACCCTAGCCGTGTTGACTATGGGAAACTGGGGTGATCTGGGCGGTTGTAAACAGTACCAGGCAGAATTGGTTTTACCTTACACTGGGGTGCTCTGGATTACTCTAGTGCCCTTCTGCTGCAGCAGTGCGACTCTCACGCCATCCTTGGCACACTCAATGAGTGCAAATGTGAAAAGTTTCTGCTTTTAGCTTTTCTCTAGGGTCGCATGTCGGTCACACAGTCCGTTTTTCGCGTATTGACCCGTGTGGTGGGTTGTTTGTGGGCCGCCAGCGTGCGCAAGTACGCTCTCGTGCGCCTCTATTACGCCGTAGGACTGCCTGTTTTTCCTATGACTCTAAAGTTAGCTCTGATTGCACAAGATGAGGCTTTTGCCAGGAGAGGTGCGTTGGCTGTCTGGCGTTTCAGGTGTTAACCTCAGCTATCCTCTGCACCATCCACACTAAAAGACCCGTGGGTTGTGCGTTACAGTCCACCTGATGCTGAATGCGATGGGGCTGCGCATCCCACTGGATCACAGATAACACCAACCGTGGATGGATCTTTTGTCTCCATGGCATCTCAACAGCTGTTGATCGCTGGATCCCTCCTGACGGTGGTATGCGCTGCCTGGGCCGGCGTTGGTGTCCATTGTGCACTGTGGGAAGTGGCTGCTGTTGATGTCGGGCATACCCCCAATAGACCTGTTCTCGACGACACACGGAGCTGCCGAGAAGAGACGGTGCGGCGTCTTCGGTCGAGCCATGTATGCCACAGACACGTCAAAGGTCTAAAGACTAACGCCGCCTAGATCTTAATTTTTCTGGGTGCTTTGCCTATGTCTATGCCTCGGCTTACGACAGAGCGAAGCCGTACGCGCGTGCCCTTAATCCCATAAAACCGATCTTCAAGCGACGTCTTCTAGCGATTTTATGGATTTTTCAACTACTGCTTGACTGGCGTATCTTCCTGTCCCGGCGGTCGTAAATTCCGCCCTCGACTTAAGGACGACTTAGACTTTCGTCGACTTTAGGTCCTCAGAAGTCTCTTGCGTCTGCGGCTTAGGCCTACCAGCACTAGATGGACCGCAGTTACTAAAGACGTATGGACATCTTGCTGTGGCCCGATATGTCTCTTGCTAGCTCACTTGATTGTCCTGATGGTACACCGCACGTCGGTGCGGTTTTTTAAGTCACTTATTTACAGAAGAGTTCTGTGATGGAGCGAGGCGGTCTCTCTTGCCCCTCCTTTCAGCAGCCAGGGCGTCAGGAGCTTTCGTTTAGGTAATTTTTTCTACGAAGCACTGCGTCTCCGTTTGTGTGCGACTGCCTTTCGGATTTTCTGTCGGTGGGCCGACTGTCGCACGCGCGCTGGGACAAGGCGCTCCAGCGGAAGAGGCCGCAGCACGGGGCCCATGAGGCCATGATTACTGCCTGCACAGTCTCGCAGGCGCCCGCATCAAGATAGTGCGCACATGCGGGTCTCAAGGTCAAGGCTATGTTATAGTAACCGTCACTCGCCTGTCTGACTGTCTAACACTATTTCCGCGGTCGAATTCAAGTCGCTTGCTGATTGGTTCATGCGTTTGCTCGCCTGGCTCACACACACACACCACCCAGCGTCTCAGTGCACTTGTCCTCTGGCCTGTCAGGCCACTAGGCTGTAGTCGCGCGCGTGCGTGTGCGCCTGTCTCCGACGCCCCTGGCGGTGCCTGCAGCGTCTTATGCGCGACTGCAGAAGACACAATTCATGCCGCGCGCGGGTTTTGAATCGTATTTCAACGTATTCTGCTGAATATAGTCAGTTGTGGGCGACCGTAGGCTGAAGGACCCCGATTAGTTGTCGGTAACCTGCGCGTTGCATCAAATGCGATTGGTGGTAATGCTTTCCAGTCTTTTGCACGCCGGGATTGTTCTACCCTGCGACTGTAAACGGGGCACTCCCCCCCCCCCATTGTACACCCTCCACGAATCCACAAATTATGAGGCAACCACCTACCATACCAGGCGACCGCGACGCACCTCATTCAACATATGTCAACAGGCCCGTAAGGCACTTACAGCCGAAGGAAAACTTTTTGGCACACAACGCTTCGACTCTAATAGGGTTCCCATGCGTCGGCACTCACCAGCGCACCGTTCAGCAGTAATCCGTTAACAGGCTATAACGGGTCCCCGACTGACGTTGTCGTCTGCCTCGCCCAGGGAGATGCCCGAAGGCCTCTTCCTAGTAGTAAACTTCGATTCTGATAGGGCTTTCACGCGTTAGCACTGGCCAATACACCGTCAGCCTACCGTCCGGCATGCCGCCCCACCCACAAAACCCCCATTATCACCAATCCCGTATGACACGATGCACCGGCTACCGTCAACCAACGGGGACCCGTCAGCCTGCCGTTGTCCAGTTTTGAGTTCTGGACCACTTTTAATTTACACTGTGCTGCTGTGGCCCAGTGCCTATCCACTTCCAAGTCCTTTTAGGACTTTTCTACGCTTTTTAATAATATATCACCCTCTACCGAAGAGAGTCAAGTTTGCCGAGCAGCAACCAACGTTAGTCGTGGACCCTGAGGGGGGTCAATGCGACCGTTCCTTGGCACCTTACCTTATAAGCCATCAAGGAGCTATTCATAGACCCCCCAGTATGCCCTTCCATCAGAGGTGAGATCATTCGGGAAAATTTTACCTGCTCGCAAGGTTACCAGAGAATTGGAAAAGTCGATCACTAGGGGAGTGTCGCATTAATGGGGCTTCCCGGACTAGTGCTCAGGCTATCATCGAAGCTCAAGCAAAGGGTGACAGATGCAGTATGCCTTCGGTCGGGCGCTCGTCTCTTGTTGCTGACTCGGTGGATGATGGTTTCGTAGTGCGGGGGTAGATGTCCGGCCTCCCTTATCCCTCGGTCTGCTTTGCTCTCGGCTCGATCAACTATACTGCTGACCGCGTATTGATGGCTGGTTTGTGGACTTGACATGGCGACCTGTGAGCTCACATCTGTCCGCGCTCTTGCCGGTCGGCAGTCGTGTCGTTGCAACAATTGGCTGGAAAATCACGACAAGTAACACTGTGGACGGCTGTTTACATGCATCCGGTTGTAGGTGATGCTTCAGTTACATGAGCACACTATGAGTTCCTGCCTCAGATCCGTTTGTTTGGTTTCACCATCCGTCCCTACCGTTCCAACGCATGGCACTTCCCCGGCTTTGCTTTAGGCCTATTCTCAGTGTTATAAAATCTTACGTTGAAGTTGATGGGGCCGTTGACGTCTTTGTTGGGCCATGAAAATATGGACTCCTCAAGTTTCATGTAATCAGTGCCGGAATATACGTCAACTTGGTGTGTGCCAGTGCCCGGACGGATGGGCTCTGACTAGTACAAGAATTACAATTTTTGGCTTCCCCAGTAGCCCTTGGCATAAGTGTAATCATCTGTTCGTTTGCACCTTTCAGGAGCTGGGCGTCCCGAACCCAGACACACTGGTGCAGATCTCACGCTGCGGAGGCAACTCTGCCGACCTCCTTCGCTTGGAAGACATCATCACTACAAAGCTTGGTGGCGATCTTGATGGAGTCAACGCCTATGACTTCTTGCGTCTCTTTGCCTCCGCGGCTGTGGTTTTCCCTGATAGTGGCACATTCCCACCACCACCCAGAGGCCAGGAAGCGGACACTGGGCACGCGGGGAGTGTGGAGGAAGTCAGATCGGATGACGGCGAAGGTGACGACGAGGTCTTCATGGAAGACAGCCCGGTAGGTGGCTGCGGCGGCGGCGGCAACGGCAGTAAGGTTAATGGCCAGCGTCTGCTTGGCCCTATTTCGCGCGGATGCTCCCGATCCCTACCTGATGATCCCCGCTCGGCGTCGTCTGCTGAGGTGGCGGTCGCACAACCATCTGCCGCAGCTCCCCAGAGTCGGCGTATGTACGACCTTTGGAGCGCGATGACTAGTCGCCTGGTTGTCTCGCTCTGTTCCCTAGAGGTCTACCGCTACCGTCCGGCAACTCTGGCCTTGAGTATCCTACTACAGCTCCGCGTGGTTGGTGTTCCTGGCCTTGCGCGACTGTGCAATGTAAGCCGTTCAATCCCTTATCGCTTGAGATTTTCATACTGTCTACACTGGCAATTTAAGTAGTGATAGTGATACCTTCTACAGCTCATCTCCACCATTGATGGACTTGAACAACCAGTAGTGATAGTGGCAATGGAGGTCCGCACGACCAACGGAACCTGTAAAAACTTATCACCTAGCAATCTTCGCAAAAGCCCGATAACAAACCTTGGTAAGATATGGTTATGCAGCCGCACCTGATGTACACACTACTGTTGGGGTTAGGGCTAGGGGCGACTATTTCTCAACCACTCAAAGTATAACCGCGCATTCCCAGTAGCGTTTCCTTTGCATACAATTACTTGACCTCGTCACCAGTGCGTTCCCCGGCCCCACCCGTAAAACCCCCTATTACCACCGATCTCATATTACAGGTGACTGGGATTTGTTTATCTCAGGTGCGACCACATAACCATACCTGACCCAAATGTGCATAATCATGCTCCTGCATACTCGACAGTCACTTTGCGGCCTTAGCCTCCATGTTGTTGCAAGTTTCGAAGCCCGTACTGTTTGCAGGCATACATTTAAACTCGCATCCCTCGATAAAGTCGGGAGGACCGTCCCCTACGCCAGGGAGGTCTTTTGATCACTCCAACTTCTAGGAGTGGGTGTGCCCTACGGGATCCCAGTCACACTCCTCTGGCGTTTTGTGCAGCCGCGAGGGACAATTTGTCATCGCGTAGGGGACCTGTCAAAGTATGCAAAATCAACTCCAGGGGCGGAGACTGTATCCACGTTTGAGATGCCGGGGTTGGGGCACGGGGGTATGAACCTCTCCCCCCCGCTCGCCGCCGCCCGTACCACAGGTGCCTTTGCACCAAATTCTAGGGGCGTTGAGGTTAGTGTTCGGTTACGGTTCGAGTTGAAATTAGAACACACGGGAATAGAGGTGGTCCCCTGGAATTCAGCGCAAAACCAACCGTAGTAGTGGGGGGGGGGTAGGGGTTTGCTTACTCCCGTGTCCAACTGAGGCCATTCTTGGACTGAACATCTCATGAGACCTCACTGTCGAACGTCGAGTCGATGAACCGGCAGGTCGACCGCTCTTGTCGTTTTATTGTCCCCGCGTAATTACGTTAGCTGAGCTGAACTGACCGAATGCAGGAAAAAAAAGGGAGATGACACGATCAACATAACGGCCGCCGTTTGTGCATCCGCAAACGCTGATCACAACGAGGGCTGGGCCAATCTGACTATATTGGCAGCCGCAGCACACAGTTGTCAGTCCGTTATCATCCCTGCTCATAAAGTACATGTATGCAATTAACGGTCAGCGGGGCCAAATCATTACAGCCGAACCACTAACGGCATTCTGTGCGTTTTCCTCCTTCGATATCTGTCAGTGGGTCCAACCGCCCGAAACGTCAGACCATGGTTAAACGCATTTTTAAAAGTTTAACTAGGCATTAATCATGACTGATTCAGCCCTTTCCATTCCGCAGGTCTACCCCATCGTGAGTGGTTGTCATCCATTGGAGTCAGTTAGTCAGACTCTCGAGCGAAGTTAAGTCTGTTGGGACGTCCGCTTCGATGACCAGGAGGAGGAGGGGGGGGCAGAAATGGGCCCTAGGTCAGCTTTTCCCATACGTACTACCCGCGTTGGCCACTTGGATGTCATCAGCAGCCATAGCCGGGCCAGGGTGAGATGACACCCCCTGGAAGATGTCACCTTCAGGCCGACACACAGTACCTTTTCGAGGTGCTTCAGTCGGCGAGTAAGGAGGACGCAGTTGATGACCAATTGCATAAATGCTCTTTAAAGACGCAGTTGTAGAATGGACCGTGAACACCATCGCGCGGAAACTGCTCAAGTGTATCCGCGCCGTGCCTTACATCCATCTTTTACCAGAAACTTCGATCCAGGATAAAAAAAGCTGTCTATTAACTCAAGAATTTCGTTGTTTGCCCTGACCATGTAGTCAATTTCTCTCATTATCCTTACCATCCTGGTGCGCCTGGATTGAGCACTTATAAACGACCGAGTAAATACTTCTCATATTCTTATTATGACGTCAAACTCTGATCACTGACAACGCAGCGCCTTAGGCCACTGTTACCTTTGCCGCCTGAAATTTAATCCATTTCCTTCCCCTCCAAGGTGAAAATGGACGATGTTCGCCAGTGTAGCGCCCTTGTTGAGGAACTGTATGATATTTACTACCTGGACGCCCCACCAAGCCAACGTCGAGCCCTTGTCTGGACGCTTTCCCGCCGAACTCTATGCCGCATTGGCTGTTCTAGTCCTACGCCACTGGACACCATCTCAGAGGACTGCGAGTAAGTGTCAATCTTACAGTAAATACGTCTCTGACTAACACTTGTCCAGTCTCTACTCAACAGACGTCTAGTTAATCTACTTAGAGTGGATCCGGTGGGTGCCATCTGGAAGTTCACCACTTGTAGACGTTCCCTCTAAGAAACTTGCCACCATTAGTTGTCGTCTGTTGTTCCTCTCCCACACCGGTTTACTTGGATTTCTGGTGGGACTCATTACCGACTTGTGCTTTGCCGTGCTTGTTCTGGATCCGGTTATAATTTTATGCTGGCCTATTAGGTGTGTGTCGCCTGTGTGCTTACACTCGTCGGCAGCATGTGCACATGTGAGGACGCTCCGCCGTGTGTGTGTGTGTCTGAGTTCGTTCAGCGACCCTGGATTTTGTGCACACCCAGTTACTTCTGTGCAAGCAGATGGGCAATAGGTTTAAGCCGGAGCTCTCTCACGCGTCTCCACAGACCGAAGGGGGGGGGGGGGTATAGCATGTACCGTCAGGATACCGAAGTAGGCGACAGAGCGCGGACTCCGTTTGACGACAGCACGCCATTCCTGTCCAGGTTTTGTTTAGCGCACACGCCCCCTCCCCCTTCGCGGGATGTCCACCCGTACGGCGTTCTGTGTCAGCCCTGCATTCATTTACGATAGTCTCAGACCAGTCCTTTTCTGTGAAGGGCTGCCTTGTCTCTGTGATTATCCTCGAGGGGACGGGATAGACTCTGAGTACATTTAGAAACTTGCATGCTAATCCAGAAGGCGCAAACCTTCCTTCCCCTGTTAGCCGTTACTGGTTACCAGAACTACATGTGAGATACCACACGGCCCTGTCTTCCTCGCATTCCGATTGGCGTCTTGTGACTTATCCACCCCCGGTAGGTCGTACGTAACTTACTAGGGACTGGAGATACGCCTATGTCGAATCGCCACATCAAAGGTGCCCTGAACCAGTGCAAAAGTACTCTGCCCGGTGGGGATTGGGGTAATTTCGCTTCTGGTGAATATTTTTCGACTTACTACTTATCTACTATATGGACTAGCTTCTGATATCATGTTTATAGCATACTTTCCTGTCTCTTCTAGGAACGATAAAGAGGACAACCTTCAGTTCCTTTTCGAGCCGTAGTCCACCACCACCACCTCCACCTCATCGATCCATCATTTTCTCACTTAACGTACTGGCAGCGCGGTTTAGCCCCGCACACACGCACACACCCACAAAGGAACTTCTATGTACGTCTGCACTTTCACCGTAACGTTCGGAACTTTACCACCTGACCATCCTACTTTCCGGCGCTTTCACGCACTGATGAAAGGAGAAGAACGGCTAGACCAATTAACTAAACAGGGCTATTCGTGAAACTTTGTTGTGCCACCGCGGCCGTCATTGCGCCTTGCTGCGGATCGTCTGCCGCGCCAACCTCTGGACCTCTCCCGGCCTCCAATGTATCATTTGTGGAAACTGTCACAACAGTCAGACTGTGCATTATACTCTAGTTTATATCAGTATATACCATATTTTTTTTAAAACTCCATAACACTCCTGTCTTTTGTCTTCGTGGAGTACGGCTCACTGTCTCGGCCTCTCTGCTCCCACCTCACATTCTTGTCCAAAGACGTGAGGGAGCGCGCCCCTATGCCTGTTTCCCTCTTTCTTGTGCTATGTGCTGTTTCATGTCCTCTCTCTCTCCATCCCCTGTCCCAAAAAACTTGCGCTATCACATGTAATCCTCGGAAGGCACACTAGTCGGCAGTTTCACCAACAGCCCTCCACCTTTTTCACCTTCGCGAAAGGAGAATTTACGGACGATGTATCAACTGCACTTCGGAAAATCACTCTACCTATTGTCTTTCTCACCTTGGTTCTGGTGGTGGGCGGTTCGAATTTTTCTGCCCTGCCGCGCACCCTACGCAGACTTCCGTCTGCTTCACATTACCCCCCCCCCCTCGCCATCATTCCCCTGAGTGTAGCCTCATCGACAGTTCCCCATCCATGTGCCTGTGGTGGGGTCGTCTCCCCACGACGCCAGCTCCTTCTCTCGGACACAGAGTTTGGGCCCCTAAATGTCCTCCCCTCCCGACTTCTGGTGTCGTTTCCTCAAGATTTAGACCCATTTACCATCGTCGCAGTCGCACACCCCCCTCCCCTTCAGCGCAGCCATGCCCTGCGACATGTTCATGGGTGCTGTTTCTAACCCTCCATCCCCCTTCTCCTCCCCCGTCCCCCCCGGTGGACATTTGGGGGGTCCCAAAATGTGGTTTCGCACTCCACCTTGTCTGTTATATCTGTGCGGACGCGCAGCGGCCGTCTATCGTCCGCCTGCCTCATCCTGGTTTCCTTCTCAT